CCAAATTTTCTCTAAAAAAATCCTCCCCCTGCCAACCAACCAAATGTTATTCATAACTCTCTTTCCCATAACCCTCGACAAAATATCTTCTCACATTGTCAAAAAAATCATCCTCCTTTTAGCACGCTCCCAAACAAACCCACCCACCAAATAGTGCATTCAGAGTGATTCCAATTAAGTTGTGTCATTAAAGAAAAAGAAAATATAAATTATTTTTTAAAATATTTGTATTACACGATCAATACTTAATTATTTCTTTTGTAATGGACAATATCTCTAGGCACAAGCTATTGCTATAGGTATTATCTATAGGTATACATATGTACTACTGGCTATGTGTGTGTTGTGTCTTTGACAACCAAAATAAGCAGATCACATATGCACATTAATATAAATTATTAAGCTTTTTTTATCAATTGGAAGATAGCTGATCAGAGAAAATAACACTTCACTTCCTTACTTTGAATATCACTATTTCACATCACCATCATGGCATTACCACCACTAAAAAAAAAGCAGTCAGCAGTGTAAAAGTCAGATCTGCAAAGAAAATGGCTTGAAAGCTCATTTCCAATATATTGCATTAGAGATTCAATGTGGTCCATCCAATAGATCCCCCATGACTCTTCCACCTAAAATGACAAAACACTCATACTTTTTAACACTTTAAATGGAGTGGAGTGGAGTGGAGTGGAGTGGGGTAGGTCCAACGGGGAGGAAGGAAGTCGGCCGTATTAGGCCACCACCGAATCCTTTTTTTTTTTTTAGTTCAACAATGATGAAAGATGTTCAGATCAGTTTATACGTATTTCGATTAATTTTTTTTTCGGTCTGATCAAACGCAAACCATCTATACTGGAACTAAGGTATTTATGAAGAATAAATCCCTCGTAATCTGACCTCAAGAGATTGTGAAAATTTAAACTTAAAATGCCTGAGTTTACAACTTATTTGTATTAACGCTTGAGCTATCTGTTAGGGTTACCACCGAATCCTTCAACCACCTCATATGACTCAACTATTAATGTAAGGCAAACAAATGACCCTCATATTATTATTTTTTTTTATGAGATTTTTAACCGAATCTAATTGGAATTCATGAAACTATACTTCAACAAATAAAGTTTAAACTTGGATGTAACTTGATTATAACTCAGATCCGTAAATAAGTACAATGAAATTTGGGGAAATCGAAACAAAACTAAACATGATTTCTTAAAATATAATTCTAATTGAGTAATTTGAGTTGAATGAGATTTTATGATATTTTCAAATTTTAAGCAATTTAGATATTGTCAATATATAAAATATTCAAAAAACGGATCAAAATGGATGCAAATCCGATCCATTGATATTTCTAAATCCTACTAATCAATTCAGTTACTTTATATCTTCCACTCCTAAATCATTGGCTCCCCACTCATGGAATCCACTGACAATCCTGTCGGGTACAATAACCTTAATGGTAGACACTAAAATTGACAAAACTTGGAAAAAATTTTAAGTTTGGAACATCAAAATCCATGAAATATCCCAATGAATCTAGAAGGATTAATCATACACAAAATAGTGTCTACCCTCGTTCACAGACAACTCTTATTAAACACGTCTTTTCGACATATACTAATCACATTGACTTGCAAATCCATAGTAGACTCGTGAAATCTCCTATGCCTATGTCATTGAATTTTTGTCTTGGATGCACATAGTTAGACATGTTTTTTTTTTTTTTTTCTGGTTATTCATGTGGAAGTGGAATCTCCACCAGTCACTGTAGTAGTCACCACAACTAACTTCCAACAAGACACCACATACCACCATTGACAATTTCAGTCCCCACTTTTGGTTAGCCAATTATAAAGCCAAATAATCATAGAAAAAAACTTCCAAATAATATATATAATATATAATATATATATATATATATATATATATATATATATATATAGAGAGAGAGAGACAGACAGACAGACAGACCCAAATAGCATTATTAATCCCAATAAGCTCTGCTTCATTTGGGACATTTCAATGTCTCCATGGAGAAGAGAGATAAAGAGATAAATATCAAACTTTAAGCATTCAGATGAATCCCAAATGTCTCCCAAGTTAAAACATTCTGTGATTAACCAGAAATTCTGTTAAGTGATGAATCCATGATAAATAGCTGCAAAACTCTACATGAAAAGCCACTTGAATACAAATTGACATAAAGCTTCAGATATTACAATCTTCTTGGCTTATTTTTTTTTTTTTAGAGCAATGCTATGTGCACCAAAAATATATACCAAAACTTTCACCAAATCACTTGTAGTTGTTAGATCAGTGGGTTCCATCAGTGACGCAACGACTGCAGTTGATTTGGTGTAAATTTTGGTGCACAAATTTAGTGTATATAGAATTATCCAATTTTTTACCAACTTTTTTTTTCCTTCCCTCAGACAAGCCATACCCTAAACAGATGCAGCAGCGAGGGAAAACCCGCCCATACATTGCTAAAACTGGCAAGAAACAATTGTTTTAGGTTACACATGGTAAATAAATGGATCAGCTAATACTAAATTATCGAATTCGCGGTATTTAATATAATTAGGAAAGCAAAATTTAAAACATCCTAATGTCAATATCAGAAACACAGATTAAGAATACAAGCCATATCAAACTTTAAATATCATTGCCAGATTGAGAAGTTGTGTATTTTTATCGATGGATTTGTATTTTGGGGAGCTCCTCCTGCTATACCTAGTAGTTATAATCGACCGGTTGTTTGTATAAAAGAAGACAAATACATGCATCTACATATAAAATTGTATATAAGTAACAACAAACTACATATAGTACAAGAAGGGTGACCTAACATCAGTAGCTTGCCTGGGAATATTCTGGTATCATCCACCATTCAACAAAAAATAATGAGAAAACAAGTAATGCGTTACTGTCAAGTAAGTTGGTCTGTCAGAGCTAAAAAGAATTACAAAACCAAGTTCAACATTACCTTCTGCAAGAATAATGTAGACGAAACCTGGCTATTAACAATGCATCAGATTGAGGTGCCATTAATGGGTCGGATATACTACACTTGCTAGAGAAAGAAAAAAGAGAAGCAGGGATAAGTGAGATGAGAAGCCATGACCTGTATTATATATAATGTGCCATAGTTGTATCAAGCTCAAGCCAGGAAATATATGCTTTTGTTTAGTTGCCGCAAACGTTGCCGAGTTTGCGACCTATGATTCTATGAACTTACAAAGCTTCGCCTAGGCATCCTATAATCAGCAACACATCCCCTCCTCCTTCCATGCTTAACAAATATTCCATTCCATTCCATTCTAAGATGAACAACAACCATACCCTGTCTTGCAGGAGCTATTGTTCTATGTAAATGTACGGATTGAGAAATAGAAGAATGGTAAGCAAGAGAAGTTGTAAACTCTAGGCATTAAGTACGACCACTGGAGCCTATTCCAGCCAAGGAATTAGAAAGATAATGTCGAATTTGTTGTGCAGGATTTGCCCATATCCACTTCCCTTATTCATTGATGTTTCCCTTTTCACCAGTTCTTCATCCATTATTGTGGTGAGACCGACTTTTCCATACACTCAAGCTAAAGCAATGTACCCACATTGTCATCTTGTTAGTTGCAACTCATTCTATGCAAGACTCTCAACAAAAGAATAGGTCAATTAAGAAAATATGGGAAATCACCACGACATAACTCCACCAGCCACACAAGGTCCTAACCAGAGTTGTTACGGCAAAAAAAAAAAAAAGAAGAAATTTTAAAGGCTAAAAATACACTTATTGTGAAAACCACATCAAAATATCTCTTTACCAGAAGCTCCACTTATTTAAGGCCTTCTCTAATGCCTTTGAACCATTGATCATATTCTGACAGTTCAAATCATCTTTGTATATGGCTGCTATCAATTTTTATGTTCCACAAATTAAATGGTTTCTTCCAACTACCCCCCCAGTTCAACTTTTCAGTAAGAAATTCAAGCAACTAAGGGAAGGCTACAGACTTGTATAAATACAAGTGCGTGTGTGTTGACACAAAATCCATGCTGGTTCCTTTTAATTATCCAAAACTACATATATAAAGCAGTGAAAAAAAAGTTAAACGCCAGAATTCCTAAAAGTAGCAAAACAAAAGAGGGGAGATAATTTTGCATTTGCTTGAAATCTTGACTCAACTATCTACTCCTGCCAAGCCCACAGCTGTTTCCACGCTAGCCTCCAACACTAAAGAACTTTTCAAAAGAGGCATTGGTTTATATTCAAACCAAAAATTAAATATTAAGTTCCACTAAGATTGTTGCTCATAAATGCAAGAAGGGGAAACTCATTTACCTCCGTATTCGCCTATAAGATTTCCATTCTCTTGCATGGCCACAAGAAGAAACAGAAAACAACAACGGCAGAAAGGCAAAAAAGTATACCACCTAAAGCTGACCAGTCTACAAACTTTGAAATAGTAGTTCTGAAATACTCACTAAAAAAAGGCAATGCCTACCCCTTGTATGATCACTATACAATCTTCTGCGAAGATAACACATTAGTGTTTTGTAACACATTAGGAATGTCAGGTACTGGTTTCAACTTCACTCAATCACAAGTATAGATCCTGAAAAATTCAATCAGTTACCAAGAACCAAAACAGAGAGCTCATGGATTCCGTTCTCTAAACCATATTTCTAAACTAGCTTCATCAAATATGGCCACTTCAGATTTAGAACCTCATGCGGCTTATTCTAATCGCATTTGGATTCAACTCTATCTTCCACCATCATCAACTACCAAACCATGCATATAACTAATAACATGACAACTATGGAGAGCAGCATTTCAACAGTACCGGTGTGTTTACCAGCCCCATTGCCCTACATGCAACTATCAGAAGATTCTAAAACAAATGTAGTAAAACATATGGATAATCACGGTTCCTGCTTTGGTGCTGTGAAGGGGAAGAAACAGGATCCTGTAGTAGACAAAGTGCATATTTTCATACATTTGTTTCCTCTCTTCTCTTCACAATCAAGTGTTTTAAGGAAATTCAGACAATTTTTAGGTTTGGCCATGGACAAAAACATTAACTTATTTTGGACTAGTCAAGATAAAGGGAACTTCATTTCCTCAAATTTCAACACCAAGTCATGAAAGAAGAAAATGTTAAGAGAGTCCCCCCCTCACCAAGATGCCAACAAAAAAACAACAGTGTATTTCATTTTTCAGATATGACCTTTAATACAAAAGAAGCAAAACACAATACAAGCAACATCTAGAGCTTCACCTGAGCAACACAACATAAGCAATGGTCATTGGAAAGCCAAACAAACAGAGAGAGAAACGAGGATACCCTTTTCCTCTTCTTCCCCTCTCTATTCAGTATCCGATGGCAAATGTGAAGATTCAGCAGACTCCTCCACCATAAGTTTCTGCAACCCAGGCTTCAGTTCCCGGTTACAAAAGTCCTCATACTCTCCCATATCCCCTCCTTTCTTCTTCACTTCCACCACCCTTAATGATGGTGTCAATTCAAATATCTCAGCAGCAATCGTCAAAGGACCCTTCACTCCCTCCATCGACCCTTCCAAACTCACTCTACAATCCTTCGTCCTCACCGTAAAACTCACCACCTTTGCAATTTCTTCCAATTTTGATATAATGTTCGACACAGGAGCCCCCGAAACAAACCTTGCCCCCTCTCCTCCCTCCTCAAACAACCCAGATAAATCAAAACCAGGCGAAAATGAAATTATATCAAATGCATTCAAGCTCGCGGGTCTTGGTAAACTCGTGAGCCTCCTCCGGCTCTCCACCTCTGACTCCGATTCAGACAACGACTGATCAGAAGAATAATCTACCCCATCATCATCATGAACACTACACAACCTATCATCCTCAATATAAAATTTCACATGCTTAAACCCCTTTTTAAACCATCTATTGTTCATAATCTCCGGGATTGTGATCCGGGTATCAGGATTAGTATCAAGAAGTCGAGTCAATAACCGAATCAATTCAGGTGAAAACCATCTAGGACATCGAAATTCACCCTTATAAATCTTCTTATACATAGCCATTATATTCTGATCATGAAAAGGTAAATAACCAGCCATTAACACAAACAAAATCACCCCACATGACCATATATCTACTTTAGCTGCCTCATACCCTTTTCTCCCAAGAACCTCTGGGGCAACATAGGCTGGTGTTCCACAAAAAGTATGAAACAGACCATCCTGCTTTATTTGCTCCGATATGGCACTGAGCCCAAAATCGGACACTTTCAAATCACCATCTTCGTCAAGCAAAATATTCTCAGGTTTCAAATCTCTATGATAAACACCACGGGCATGACAAAACCCAACAGATGAAATCAATTGTTGAAAGTACTTTCTAGCCATCTCTTCCTTCAACCTACCTTTGGCGACCTTATTGAACAATTCACCACCCTTTACATACTCCATCACGAAGAAGATCTTAGACTTTGTTGCCATAACCTCGAACAATTGTACTATGTTGGGATGTCGAACCCGCCGGAGAATTGAGATCTCACGCTTAATGTGAGCCATGAGGCCAGTTTTGAGGATCTTCTCTTTGTCAATGACTTTAATAGCTACACTTTCGTTGGTCTTGATGTTTCTGGCATGGTAGACTTTGGCAAAAGTTCCCTGACCGAGGAGTTTTCCGATTTCGTACCGGCCTAAAAGCAGGCCATTCGCCTCTTTCCTGGTGGTGGTCGGGTTGGTGGCGGTGGTAGCGGCGTTGGCCATGGATTTGGTGGATGTGGGTTTGAGTTCTGGCTAAAATTTAAGGCTTAGTTTTGGGTGTGTAGTGGGGATTGGTTTTGAGCTGTGTTTGTTTTGTTTTTGCTTTTGGCTTTTGTATGGGCTGAAAAGTTGGAGTAATGATGAGTTTCAGAGTTTAATACTGTCTCCGTGCCTAAATATATATATATGTCATTTTACATAATTTTTTTTATTTTATAATATCTATTATTTAATAAAAATAAAGTACAATTAATATTTTTTTAAAAAATTTATCCTTAATTTTTTAATATATTAAATTAGGTGGAGCTTAAATATTTTTTATATTCTTTTTCTTCTTAATACGTATTGAATAAAGATATTTTAATTTTATATAATTATTTTTATTTATATTTAAATTATTTAATAATTTTTTTAATTCTTATATAAAAATCTTAAACGACGTATATTTGTAAACGGGAAGAGAGTAATATATGGAAGAGTTATAACGGAGAGAAATCGGCGATTGGTGTAATAAATGTTCGAAAATTTTAACGTTTGGCGTTTGACAGCTGTAACTATGACAGACTCTTGGTTGTAACGACTATATATATATAATGAAAGAGAGGTGAGAGATTTAGATCCAGTGATGTCATTATAGAGACAGCAATTTCTAAATAGGGTTAATAGTAATTTTAATTATTTAAGAATGTGGGGTTGATTGTTCATTGTCTCTGTCTTGTATTTTATATTTTTATTTTTAATTTTTGTTAAAAATAAAAATAATAATATGTTTGAATAATATTTTTGTTTTTGTTTTATATTATTTGTCTTAAAAAAATGGAAATAAAGATAAAAAATAAAACAAAAAATTTGAGTTTCAAGAAACACGGGAAACACAAAACTTGAACACAACTCAGCTAAAAATTTTAATGAGTTGTCGGATTCAATTCCATTACCAACAATATGTATTATTTTTTGTAGAAGTATAAATAACATTCTCTCTCTCTCTGCGCATATGAACGAAGAGAACCTAAAAGACGATGTGTGGAAAAAGAAGATGATGCTTGGAAGAAGACAATCTCTTTGTCGCTGTGGAAGAAGACGATGCTCTTTGTGAAACCCAGAAGACTCTCTCTCTCTCTCTGTTAGTCCTATGTGTGTCCTCCATATGCTGGTCTTGTGCGCGTCCTCACTCGAATTATATGTCACCGTTTGGTAAAAGTTAAGTATATCCATTCAAATATATGCTAGATCCATTCAAATTTATTTCAAATCTGTGAATGTAAGGTATATATATATATATGGCCAAATCTGTGATGGTTGTATCTATGTGTGAGTTTGTGTGTGTGTGTGTGTGTGAAAGTGAGTTTTGTGTGCAGATTCGTGATGGGCCCACCTCTTTTTTTTTTTTTTTTTTTTTGTTTTCCCCTAAAATTTGTGTTTGTAGATACATTAGAAATCCCCCTCTTTTTTTCATTTTCTATTACAAATAATTTGGGTGTGCAAAGTATGTGTGGTCTGTGTGGTCTCTATTTGTGTATGTGTGACTGTGTGTATTAGATTTCTCTCTCAATTGTTCCAAAATGGATAGTGTATCTCAGACACCAATTTGTATTGTGTATTCTTGGTTCTTATGTTTTAGCTTTTGGTAATATTTTGCTGGTTGTGGCTATTTATATCCTGGTGCTGGAGAAGAAGAACAAAGTTGTATATTCCCACCCAAACATTCAATCCAGATCACCTGTGATAAATATTTCTCTTGCCGGTTTTGTATTGGGTACGATTTGTATTAGGCCATCAGAGTAAAATCAACTTGAGTGCCTTGAGTTTGTGCTCCTGCTCTTTTATTTACTATTTGTACTTTTTTTCATATGGTGGAGTTTCCTGTAATTGTGAACCCTTGTCCATCTACAAGTAGCAGTGTTTAAGTTTCATCGAATAAATGGTCTGTTTGCTCGACATTAATAGCTTTGTATCATGATTGGCTTTTCCCCATTTATCATCTTTTCTGCATATGCATCTCATCACTCGCACTTTAGTGATCCCACCTTGTTCATTATCTCTGTGGAGTCCTCAGATCATTGAATTTGTCTGATGTGCTAATTTTATTGTCAATGGCACTAAGCTGTTAGATAGTTTTCCTCATTCAAGCCTTTGAGCATATTTGTTTTCCATTTGCCTCGACAGATGATGGGTCATCCATGTGTTGTTGCAGGGCTGATAAGGATAGGGCAGCGACATTGCTAAGGCGGCTACATGATGAAAATTCAATGGGTGACAGATAAAATTTTTAAGCAACATGGGCAAATTGTAGTGAGAAACTATGGGACTATTTGTTTAGGTGTTCTTTGATGAATTAGTTGATGTTTTGGGTTAAGGAATTTTTGAATTTGTATTTTATTGTATGATATATTATAAAGCATAATTAGGATAAAACTTGAAGTAGTTATTAAACATGTTTTTTATGTTTATTCTCATAATTTGATAGACAAAAATGACTCTCAAACATGTGTTTCTGTTTCAGTGTTTACCACAAAACAGAGACAAAAATTGTCTCTGTTTTTTATTTTTTCTAAAGACACGAAAACAAAAACGTCACCAAACGACCCCTGTATTTTTGGTTAATTTAGTTTTTATTATATAATTTTTATTACCTTAATCTTTAAAATATTTAATTCGTATTATTTTGATCCCTAATTAGATAATGTGTCAAGCTTTTAATAGAAGTGATCACGTATCATTTTTGGTTAGTATTATGCGTCTAACACGTGATTATTTCGTCAAAAACTTAATAGTTCAACTATGTAAGAATCAAAATAACACGAATTAAATATTTTAAAAATTATGAAACAAAGAGAGAATATCAGCATATTTGATAGAGATATTTTTTTATTAGACAAATATACTTCTATGAGTAAGCTTGTCAATGGATTGAGTTTGGATCGAATTTTTGATTGACCTAAATTTGAATCCAATTTGAAAAGTCTAATCTGAATTCGATGAATTTTATTTTTTTTAGTACATATTCAAATTCATTTATAATCTATAATCATATTCGAAAAATCAATCTGATCTAGATAACTTAAGTAACTAAATTTTAATAAATTATACTTAAATGTTTTTAAATAATTATTTATTTTTTAATATTTATATAAAAATATATAAATATTTCGAATTGGTTCTGATATAATTATATTCAAATCGGAATCTAAAAAAATATGAAATATCGATTTCGAATTTGACTTCGGATTATTGTTAAAAAAATATTAATTTATATCCGACTATTCAGATTTGAATCAGAATTTGATCTATTGACAAACCTATTTATGAGTAAATTTTTAAATGTTTTTTATCAAAATAAATTAAAAAAAATGAATGAATGAACATTGAAACTCGACTAAAATTTTAGAGACTAAATAAAAATTATGTAAATACTTTTCAAGGGTGTGAATTATAAATTACCCAAAACCATTTTTGATTGACGTGTAATTGTGCTAACGTGTAATCACGTAGGTGATTTAATGGAGTGCATCACCAGACATGTTATTAGATTGCTTCCAACCTTTTGATGAGTCATCAACCGCTTATCCACTTATCCAGACGACCATAACATGGTCAAGATTTAGTGTTTTTTTTTTTAAATTAAATTCGTGATTGCAACGGGAATTTTGAATTTTTAATCATTTTCAAATCATGCAAATTGAATAAATAAATAATCAAAATTATAATTTCAAAATAATATTACTTTGATAAAGTCTTCCTGTTTAAACTAATGGTCTATTTGGTAGGAAAGATGGAAATAGGTGGGATGAAAAGTGGGAGAGATACACTTTCTATTCTCTAATGAGGGAAAATAAGAATGATACATTTTTCTTTGTATTTGGTTGGATGGATGAAAAATAAAAATAATTAATTTTTTGTGATTAATTTTTTTAAAAAATATATAAATACATTTTTTATCATTGTATTTATATGTGCATAACTGTGTAGCAAACTTTTTAATTTTTAAAAATATATCGATTATAATGTGTTGAAATAACACTTTTTTGTTAGAAAATATCACTCCAGTTTGATATGTATATTTATGTATGAGTCAGTACCTTTAAATAATAAGAAGTATATAATTAAATAAAACGTAGATTCACGAATTAAAAATTTGAATTGATGAATTTTGTAAAATGAGAACATGAGTATGTGACTTCCCGTGCGGAGCGTTAGAGTATCTATTATTATTTTTATTTTTATATTATTATTTTTATTTTTATATTGCTACAATATGTCCAGACTTGTGCCACTATTCTCTCGATCTTAGTGGTCAATCATTGTGATTTGAACCAGGTTAAAACATTACTCTAAAATGACAACGGTAGCTAACCTTTAAGGAATATGGGAAATTGTTGACCCTAAAACTAGGAGTGTTAATTGAAACGAATTATTCGGACTTGGATCAATAAAACTCGTCTCCAGTTTGACTCTTGTTCTAAATGAGCTGAGCCTAAATAATTTTTTAGGCTCGTTGATATGCAAAATAGTCGAACTACTCAGGCCCGGCTCGAATTTTAAACGAGTTGAGTTTGATCAATTTTTATGACCCATTTAAAAAAACAATCACGTCAGGATAAGACTTAGACTTAAGCTCGCAAAATTTGACTCAATTAACACTCTTACCTGAGGCCTCTAGATTATTAAAAGTCAAATTCAACCACCGAATCACCTCTAAAATTTGCTAGACATTGATTACTTTGAAAGATTGTGATTAAAATTATAACACTAACTAGAAAAAAAAAAGAATAAACTCATATACCATAATTTTATTTAAGATTTGACTGGCTATGTTAAAAATTATTTAAGTTGATTTAAAATTGTATCATATTTAAATCATGTAAATCATAGTGTGTGAAAATTTATTGAACTTAGAATGAGTCATCAATTAAAGGAGGCTAGAAAGTCGTATAATAATTGATTCAAACCCGTTAAAATAAAATTTATAACTAATAATTCACTTGGATTTCTTGTTAGAATAGAAAAGACACCTAAGTTGGTATAATTTAAATAAAAAATTATATATTTTAATTAGTCGGTTTGGACGGTCCCACAAAAAATGATCATGTCAACCAAGTTGCAAGTCAACCTTTATGAATCAAAGACACGTAAACATTGAGA